GAACTACACACTTGTAGTTCAAAATGGCTGCAGCATGAATTTCATTTAAAGGGCAATGCTGGTAGATGGGATTCCAAGACCCTCAGTGGTTGCCTGCAACTGCAGATGGTACCGAATCCTAGATATACTATGTTTTCCCTTATATATACTACCTATGATAAACTTTAATTTGTAAATTAGATGCAGTAAGAGATTAACAATAATAACTAATAATAAAACAGAGCACATAACAATATACTGTAATAAAAGTTATGTGAATGTGATCTCTCTCTCGGTTACTAAGTCACTAACAGGCATGTAGTGTTTACAGCATGGATCCACTGGACCAAGGGATGATTCATATCCCAAGTGGGATGGCACAGGATTTCATCACACTCTCAGAATGGCGAGCAATTTAAAACTTATGGATTACTTATTTCAAGAATTTTTCATTTAATATTTTTGAATCATGGTTGACTGAAACCAAGCAAAGTGAAATCATGGGAAGGAGGACTACTGTAATGTTCTCATCATAGCATAACTTGCTTCTGGTTCAAGGAAGTGCCATATAACAAACTTTTGAGGAAGACTTATACTATGGACATTATTGGTTGTGTAGAAAGTGTAATAGAACAGATTAAAACCCCATTCCCAAATAAGGAGCATGCCTGGGATGTTGTTCTGCAGATTGCATATTTTCCCTGTAAAAACCTTTGGTTTATATTCATTCATGTTAAAACTATGATTACAGATCATTTCCAAATATGTCATTTACACATATGCCTTCAAATACTGCTCTGACCTCTTCTTCCTTCTCCCAGCAATGAATTATTTATAATTCTTTTCATAAAGAGATAATCAGCTAAAGAGCTTTCTTAAAGGTGGCAAAACTAAAAAGCAAATTAGTTTTATGATTTCAAAGAATTAGCTGACTATCCACTTATTATAATGTTTTCAGACTACTTTAGAACTCTCAAAGGAAGAATAATGGTCCAGTGCAGTGCTGTGAGGTTTCCTTTATGGACATAGTAAGCCATTTAATCTTGACAGGCTCAATTGTTTTTGATTTCCTGCCATGGATATCCATCACAGAAATAGCAGTTGTGATTAATAGCATTTTGATCACTAACCAAAAGCATTTGTTATAATGTATACCTGGAAAATATTCCAAAATGGAGAATAATATTCAAGTGTAAAAAACTGTAACAACTGAAAAATCAATATCCATTGAGGAGAGAGGGTTATAAAGGTACTTTCAGGAGAGAAATTAAATTCTAGATTTTCATTAATTTTAAGGAGAAAGTGGAAGAATAAACCTTAAAGAGAATTTATGGGTAATGTTTTTTCCCAATTTGAGATGAAAATTATACCTGGAATTTACTTATTAATGCCTGTGTTCAAAACATGTAGAAGATTCTCTTAAATAGATCATTGTAAATGTTTTGTTAGTTAAAAAGATACCCTATCCTCATCTATTTTCTAACATCAAGCTAAAAATTCTAGAATGGTGGTGGCAGCAATGCAGAGACAACATTATCAACTTAGAAAAAAAAGTGGTATCCAAAAACCAGATTCTGTTTCAATAATTACAAGAAGTCGCGTTTCCTCCCATTATATCTATAACCCATGAGATAAAGCAGAACTAGGGAGAGAGGTGATGTGCTAACAGATTAGATTTTGGGCGTATTCTTGTAAAGATTATCAGCCTAGAAAAATTTGCCAGATGAGTCTATGCAGAAAAAGCTAAACAAAATTGAAATATCAGTATATAGGGCCTTCATTTACTCTTTTATTCATTTAATTATGCATTTATTTATTCAATAAACAAAGATTTACTGAGTTTCAATAACCAAAAAGGCACTAGGTTAACCAATAAGACATGACCCCTGCCTTTATAGAATGCATTCGTTGAGGGTAAACTGTGGCCAGGCGCTTCACATACCTTATATCCACTCTATGAGGTGAATATTAAAAAAAAAAATCATTTTCTCTTTTATATATGAGGAAGCTGAGCATCGCAGGAGTTAAACTGGTTGCTCAAGGTCACACAAATAGTAAGTGGCAGAGTTAGGCTTCCAAACCCATCTTGTTGTCTCCAAAATCTACTACACTGTGGTGCCTGTAATCTAGGAGGAAAGAGATAAACATACACAATGACCTGCAATACATATCAGAGACTGTACAAATACTATGAGAAAGGATATGTGGCTTGCCATGGCAGCACAGAGAAGAAATCTATTTATTTTGCTAGTCTCTGGGTAATCCCTGAGAAGGCTTCACGGAAGCTGGCATTTGAGTTAGGCCTTGCAGGTAGATGGGGAAGAACATTTCAGGCGGGTACATGAAAGTGCACTGCAGAATGAAGAACCAGCTTATAGTTCCAGAACTGGGAACAGTGTTTCTCACGTTTGTATTCATACCATAGTTTTGAATTTTAGAATATTTGGCAGCATACCTGAACAATGCCATAGTCAGCAATCATTATGATACAACAAATCTATTATGGGATTAATTTCATGGACTTTGGAGTTAGGATTGCAGGCTTTGAATCTGCTCTGCCACTTACCAGTTGTGGGGACTTTGGAAAATCATTTTAGGCCTTGTTTGGCTAAATGGTGATAATGATAATGGGCTATTTTAAGGAGTATATGAGTTAATGTATGTCAATTACTTAGTTTAGTGTATAGTGCCTAATGTACATTCAACAATTGGTTGTTATGAGTACTACATTATATTATCTCAGGATATCTATCAGAGCATTCAGTTATTTCAGGATTCTCTTGGTTGCCTTTTTGTATTTTGGCATTGTTCAAATTGAACTGTACTAGATAGTACTGACTAAGTTTCCCCATATACTAAGAAGGCAGTTTCAGTAACTTCTCTTTCTTTCCCACTGCCTTACTGTTTTGTTAGGCCTCTTGTCTTCTACTCTCAACAAATGGAATCATCTTCTATATTGCAATGCAGAACCACTAGGCTTAATGTGAATTTGGCAGATACTATGCATGTTTAGGTATAACAAAAATATACTTTTCCTGTTCATCACTTTGCGAGCATATATGTGAAGGGGGTAAACAGTGTTCCTTGGCCTATGTGGTTGAGATCCAACTATACAGAGTTGGGGTGACAGCATAGGAGAAAGTGGGGAGAGTGGTAGGAGAAGACAGGTTAGGGTTGGATTGGAAAGGAATTCGAACATGCTAAGGAGTTTGGCCTTGAGCTTGTAAAGGAAATGGGCAGCCATGGGGAAAAAAAAAGCAGGAGGGCTAGTACAATTGTATTTGGATTTTAGGAAGACAACTAATACATTGTGAGGGATTGCTTTGCATATTCTTTGTCTAATAAACTATAAATCCTTTAAAACCCAGCACCTTTGGGAAGCTTTCTTGATTTGTTACACCTGATTTTGATGTCCCTCAATGTGTTCTCACAGTATTATGTGCATACATCTATCATATTATAATACATAATAATTATTGACTTAATTGGCTGTCTCCTCCACTGGATTGTATACTCCTTGAGATCAGGGACCACATCTTATCTTTGGATCCCCAGCAGCTAGTGTAGTACTTGCAGGTTCTCGATAAATATCTGTGGAATTTAGTAATTAATATGAATTTATAGAAGGAGCCAAGACAAGGAAACCAGTTCTAAGATTATTAGCCTAAGAGTCTATCAGCATAACCTCCACTGGTAATTCACATCATATTGTCTTATTGTTTGACAAAAGCTGATAGAAATGTATTATAATAGTTTGTCTTTAACCTTTTATTTCGAATCCTTTCTTAAAATGAAATAAAATGAAAATTAAATTCCAAAAGCACTGAAGTTGACTTTTAATGATTTTTAATTCACTGAAAATTAGGCTTTTCCCCTCCCTATAGTCTGGATATAAATATACAGTACATAATATTCTAAAGAGAGAATAAAATGCTGACTATTTCTAATTACCTAATTTGTTTGAGGGAATCACCAGTAGTCCACAAAGTGAATTAATGTGATCAACAAACTCAAATGCATTGTTTTGTAATTTATGTAGAATTCCCGATAAGTCTTTCAGAGTTTGCCAATATGTCCAATGATTAAAGATATTCAGCCAAAATGAATCCTCTATCTTTGCTTTAACAGTATAGGAAAATTTACAGGAGTGTACTTTATCCATTAATCAAACAAAATGTTTCTATAAATCACTGTATTAATTGCTGAGTTAAAGGCCATGCCTATATCATGAAAAGCAAACAAAGGATATTGCCAAAAAGACTAGTGTGCTCAGCTGATTTGACTACACCAATGTGTTTTAATTCCAGCCTTTAGTCAAAACAGGTCTAGATGACAGACTCATTCCTCTGATCATTTAATTTTGACCTATTAAGACAATCAATTCTATTTGATTTTTCCTGTTCTTATGATTTTTTTTTAAAGACAGTGTCTCACTCTGCCCCCCAGGCTGAAGTGCAGTGGTGAGATCATAGCTCACGGCAGCCTTGAATTTCTGGACTCAAAGGATCCTTCTGCCTCAGCCTCCCAAGTAGCTTGGACTACAGGTATGCACCAGCAGGCATGGCAAATTAAAAAAAAATTTTTTTTGTAGAGATAGAGGTCTTACTATGTAGCCCAGGCTGGTCTTGAATTCCTGGCCTCAAGGGATCCTCCTGCCTAGGTCTCCCAAAGCACTGGGATTGTAGGTGTGTGCTACTGTACCTGGCCTCTCATGCTATTTCTGTTCTCAGAACACTGTATATGGTTGGGGACCTTACTGGATGGAAAGTGTGTGACTCCACCTCTTTCTGTTTCTCTCTGGTTCTGTTGTTCCTATACATTCTTGGACTTTTGCTGAGATTGATAATAGTCAATGTTGAATAGAATTTAATTTTCAATTGAAATTCTAATAAAGGTTTTCCTTATTTTGCTCAAGCTGATGCACTAGAAGTAGCAGATTTTTAAATATGCATGTGTTTAAAAAGTCAAGATTATTTAGACATTTAATGACAATCAGATGATCTTCTGAAATATTGGCCTACCTTTTGGAGATACTTTACTTTCTCCTCAGATTCCTGTATCTTCAGGGCTTCGGCAAAGATGTTTCTATTTTCTAGAGGGAATAAAGTCAAATTCAATCTGAAATAATTTTATCATGATTTTATACTAAAATTGATATAAAATTGGATACAGGTTGAAAGGGAATACATAGAGTAGGAAGGTAAACAAAAGTACATGTGGTGTATTGAAACTTTATAAACCAGATTTCCAAATATTTAGAGACTGAATTAATTAGCTATGGCTGCAGGGAACCTCTAATCTCTTTAGATGATGAGTAAGCTCTAGTCCAGAGACAAGAAAAGGTCTCAAAAGAGAAAATATCTGCAGGATCAGAGATTCCAATTTCTACATTCCTGTTCAAACTGTTAAAGAAATTTAGGCATTGTCCTCTGGATAAACAGGGTGGTCCCTCAGCAGGGACTTAGGTGTGCAATTCAGAAAGTTATACTACAGTGTAAAGTAGTACCCTTGTACTTATTGGCTATTTTCTGATGAACCTAGGAGTCAGAATGCTGAAAGGCATAAAACTTGGTACTTACTGTTGTTACTCACAAGGTGAGAAGACTGCGAGGAGTGACTGTTCTCTAAAAAATACAAAAGGGAAGTAAAGAAATCATTGGAAAAGACCACAACATTAAAGGCGTTTGAATATTTTATACCATAACAATTGCATAACAGTTCCACATTCTAGGCCTCACTAGGGGCTTCCAGGTCCAGGAAGTTCATTAGTAATGTTGACTCCACCTTCATCTTTCTCCAGGGCTTTTCATGTTTGAATTCAACTGTGTATTTGAATTCAACTGTGTAAACTATCCTTTCAGCCAACAAATAGCATTTCCTCAGATTATTCTATATTGTTTACCAAATAGATGCTATAATTTAAGGGAAACATGTGTGTTCAGATGTAACAAATATACTACTGATCCTTTTCGGGTGGAAGGGTTGTTGGAAGGGTTCAGGAACTATACATGTATTTGTATGTACCTATAACTATTTGTATATACCATTGCAATTTCTCCTGGAAGGGGCTCTGGTATCTGCAGGCCGGTTACGGTGGAGGCAGATGTGACTGACAGGAGGCCACTACTCTACTCACCAGACCCTCTGCTCCTCCGGCGCCGCGCCACCGGCAGACGCTGACTGCTGTCTCTGCGCAGCACCAGCTGAGATTCGCTAGGGGGATACATCGACGCCGAGATCCAGAACTGCTTAGCCAAGTTGGCATCTTGTTCTGAGGAGCCGGCAAATACCAGTAATCCCGGGGGGCAAATTTCCTGGGACTCCTTTTGGCCGCTAGGTTCTTCGCTGGGTCCCGTTTCCATGGCAACTGAGGACGCTCCTCCAAGCGTCCTCGCCCCTCCCCCCGCCCCGCCCCCATCCCGCCCCTCCGAGAACCGCCAAGTTGGTACCAGCCCCTGCCGGCAGCCTTCGGTTTCCTAGGTAGGTGTTGGGATCCACCACGCGCGTGGGGGCCGTCGGAAGCCCACTCCTGTGGTGATCAGGTTTTGGGACCAGTCCAAACCTTGGATAGGGGAGAGTCAAAACATACACTTTGGGTTGTGTCCTGTTGGAGTCAGTGGGGGAGTACTTTAGCTTCTTATATCCTCAGTGGGCCTGCCACATCCTCTCCCCTCCCCCTCCAAAAATAGCTAAATAAACTGTAAATTCCTCAGCCCCATCACCCCAATCCCCCCTTCCAAACCAGATTGCCAGGGACAGCACCTGCTACGTGGAAGTTCTGAGAACGTTGCGTTGGAGAATTCATGGCTGAAAGCCTAGCCCTTGGGAGCTAGAGACCTGAACTGGGCAGATATATGCCCATGTGTATAGTTTGTGTGATTTTAAAATTCTGAATCCTTTAAATCTTAGGAAACAATCTGGATTTTAAGTGTAACTGCATTTACTAATCACTCCCACTAAAAGTTGCATAGACTGCAACAGTTGTAAATGATGACTTAAAAGAAGGGATATATCTTAATGAATGGACAGAGCCCCTTCACAGAAAAAAAAGTATGAAAAATTTTGTTAATGTATTCTTATAAAAGTATTAACAAGTGTGTGTGTGTGAATAGCTTTCCCGGGAGATTTTTGTCATGGCAGGAACAACTTAACCACTTCATTGATAGAAAAGTTAAGATTACTGTGGCAGGAACTGAGATGGACATCATAAAGCCAATTTAGCAAAGGAAATGGACACATGACAATAACCACAATTTATGTCTTTATGGTACTTTATTCTTTCAAAATATTAGTAACAATATAGTCTCAAGAAGTTAATAATCACATGTTCATATAATAACATACAGCAATCAGCTAAGAAAAAAATCATATTCCCCATTTTATCTAAAATTTTCATTAAGAGGCTGAAGGAATATTGAAAAAAAAAAACCCCCACATACATACACATTACATACACTGTATTCTTAGTAGCTAAAATGTTGATTTTTTAATTTTGGCTGAGCAATTAATAGGCAATGGATGAAATCAGCATTTTCCAACACCCCTCTTCCCCACACACATTGATGATGCACAGGCAGCTCATTTGGATGAATTCCCAAATCTTTTTACCTGGCCGTGTGGTTAGTGATTGGTACTATCAGCAATCAGCTAACTACACTGCCTGGTAACTAGACTCATGAAAAAAAATTTGCAGTCTCAAGTTGGTACCCCCACACGTTGTGACAGGCAATTCATTGGTTGAGTTGAAGATCCACTGAGTTGCTGGCTTGGTGAATATTCTACTAGACAATGGCAAATAGACACAGTGAATCATATACAGTATTAACCGTTACATGGGTGGAGGGGCTTCACCTCCAGGGATTTTGCTTTCCTGGTATGAGACTGTTTCATCTTCTGTGACTCCTAGAGAGAGAGCTAACAGTTTAACTGTATCTGGAGAAACCGCGGGTTTTCTCGCACTTGCAGCGGGCGCTCGCGAAGCATGCCAGCGCGGGACCCACGCCGACGCCGCGCTTCTCAGGCACCTTCTCCTCTCGAAGGCTGCGGGCAGCCAGAGCCGGCGTCCTCTTTCCGGCCGGGCGGCGGATGATGCTGTGCCTTGTTTTGATGGCAGTGGAGTTAGTGATTGTAACCACCACAGTACAATCAGCTAATGACACTGCCTACAAACCGAGCACTGGGCGTCCGCGGCTGCAGCTCCCGGACGGTCCGCAGCGCCGACGCGGAGTCGCGGGGTCGGGGCCCGCCTAGGACCCCATTTCACCAGGGGACGCCCGACCATGGGTGGGCGCGAGCGGCCTCCGAGGACACCCCGGGCCCAGCGGGATCCCCGCCGGCCTCGCCGCGCACAGCACGGGTAGTTGGGCCAGCGGGCGGCGCTGCCGGGGAGGACCCGCGCCCTCCCGGGCCGCGCCCCGACCCCGGTGACCCTCGGGAGTGCCGGGCCTCCCCTTCCCGCAGCCTCTCGCTCCTCTCAGGACCCTCCCGCTCAGGTTCGCCTCGCTTTTCCTTTCCCCTTCGCCTCCTCGGCCCGGGCTCCCACTTCCCTCACGCCAGGCTTCAGTTCCCAGCCCCAAACCCTAGGGCTGGCTCTCTCGACCCCATGCGCCCCGCAGCTCTGAGCGGCCGAGCGACTGTGGCGGGGGCGACCAACCGTCCTTGGAACCCCGCGGGCCGAGGGGCGGGGCGGGCGCGAGACCGGGCTGTGGGGGTGGGGGGGGGGGGGGGGGGGGAGGGGTGGGGGAAGGGAGGAGGCTGAGAGAAGGGGCTGTGGGCGGTCCCTGAAGGGCCTCCAGGGAGACGCCTAGAAGATGGAGGCCCAGATTCTTGAGACATTTCTCTTTCTGATCTAGCAGGAGGGACAAAGACCTCCACTCCCTCATTCCCCAAGAAGCCCCCAAGCCTACCCAGTTTCCGTGCCCATTCTGCCCTGGGAAAGCGGCTTCCCAGGTACCTCAAATTATAGGTTTGAATTTTCCAAATGGAGGTGGGCTTGGGTAGCCTCTGACATGTGGGAGGATGCCTTTGAGAGTCTCATCTGCACCTTTGTGCTCTGTTGGAGACTTGGCCTTATAGTCTTAGAGGGCCATGCGGTGATGCGAAGGCTGAGCCTTCTAGTCAAATAGTGAGCCAGGCAGCTTGTTAGTTACATCAAATCGTGGTCCTCTTGAGATCAAGGCCATACCATTCAAGACAGTATATATATATAATAAATTACTAAACTAGGGACTGATAGAAATAGAAGGGAGGCCGTTAATGAGAGCTGTAATAGGTCAAAGAAGGTTCCCAGAGGAGATGAGACTTGAGTAGATCCTTGACGCAAGAGTACATTTGGATATTCAGGTTTAGGGCTGTGGATGCCAGAAAATATCTTGTTACAATTGGGCAAAAGGGACAGTTACAGAGGACTTCTGGGAGATCTCTGCTAATAACTTTCCTTTAGTTACTCCTTCCCCTCTTTGCCTTTAATGAATGAATCAGGAGAGGATAAGGAATGTTCTCTTTATCCTCACCTTGTGAAATTCAGCTGGAAGCAGCTTCCCCTAGAAATATGGTCTTCATGCATCCAGTATAGAGCACTCATTGCTGACACAAAAGACTTAGTTCTAAATTAGTTTCTGTAAAAGAAAACTTCCCATCTATAGATTGATTCCCTAAAACCAGCAAATGGTCTCATAGATGCCACTAGTAACATGAACAGGGGCAGGTCATCTGGATCATTCAATACAAACACCAAAATTACACTATTAAAACAACTAAAGAACTGCCCAAGGATGTTTGAGTAAGTTATAGCATTTTCTTTGCATATGAAAGACAGCACTTTTTTTTTCCCCAAATGCACTTTGTTCCGTACACCCCGAAGTGAAGGGAAAGAAACCAAAATATAAAATATATATCACATAAAATGTTAATTATAAAAATTAACTTGTAGAATTAAATTGTGAAAGACAAGCCATCTACAATAACTGTATTTTGTATTCATCTTATCTTTGGGAGGGGCACAGTGTTTTAGCACACATTACATAAATGACTTACATTCACTTAAATATACATACGTGAAACTAGGAGCAAAATAGTCTTCATTCCATTAACAATATGCAGACTTAGAGAAGTCTTGGTTAGGAGATAGTTATAAAAACGATTATCTTCTACCAAATTGTTAGTCACTTTTACCCAATACTATATTGAACACTTCTTCCCAACTGATGTTTTACGATTATTAGTTGCATCTTAAATATCTTACCTGAGCTGGATTGCTGCCATCCAAGGCAATGGTTGTGTTAGATGCCTTGAAAAGTAGGTTTCTACAGACTTTTCTCCAAAAGTAATAAAAAATAAAATTCATATGTAAAAGTCATCAAGATGCATTGCCTACTGAAATAACTTTTTAAAATGAGTTTATTTTCTATGTAGTACAACTAAAAATTTAAATAACGACAAAAAATGTGTGTGGCCTAGTTCTGTTGAAAAAAAAAAAAAAAGAATGCTTGTTCTTAGGGTTGCTGTTGATTTGGCCTGCAGTTACTAGAGAAACTCCAAGGATCTCATTCCCTCTATGGTTCATGTCTAGGCATGCCTGGAGACCAGGGAGACCCATGATTTAATCTAAGTAAGAATGCTTGTGGTGTTTTAAATGCCCACACAGAAGATTGCATTTGTTTTATACTGTACCAGGAAGGTACCTTTCAGGGGAATTGTTTACTGTTTTAATTTCTGGGCTTTTGGTGATTAGGGAGATGGAAAAGGAGCCGTCAGGAGAGACAAGGTTGATGATTAAGAGGAAACCAAGAAGAGTATAGAAAACAAATACCTTCTGCTTTAGCTTTGGCACATTTGTGTTGACTTAATTTACCACTTCTAGATACAAGACTAGATTGATGGGAATTGGCAATTAGAAAAGGTGGAGATGGGCCAGGTGTGGTGGCTCACACCTGTAATCCCAACACTTTGGGAGGCCAAGGTGAGCGGATCATGAAGTCAAGAGGTAGAGACCATCCTGGCCAACATAGTGAAACCCTGTCTCTACTAAAGATACAAAAATTAGCTGGGCGTGGTGGTGTGCGCCTGTGGTTCCAGCTACTTGGGAGGCTGAGGTGGGAGAATCGCTTGAACCTGGGAGGCAGAGGTTGCAGTGAGCCGAGATTGTGCCACTACACTCCAGCTTGGGTGACAGAGCAAGACTCTGTCTCAAAAAAAAGAAAAAGAAAAAGAAAAATGGAGACAATGGAGACAACATATCCCTCCCTTCAATATATACAAACTCACCATCTCCCACAGCTTTTGAAGGATGTTATTGGAAGAGGAAGAAATGAAGAATTAGACTAATTAGAAATTACTGGATTTTAGCAGTTTCTTTTTAAACCTGTTTTTTTTTGGAACAGAGTTTTGCTCTTATTGCCCAGGCTGGAGTGCAGTGGCGTGGTCTTGGCTCACTGCAACCTCCGCCTCCTGGGTTCAAGCGATTCTTCTGCCTCATACTCCTGAGTAGCTGGTATTATAGGCAGCCACTACCATGCCTGGCTAATTTTTTGTAATTTTTGTAGAGATGGGGTTTCACTGTGTTGGCCAGGCTGGTCTCGAACTCCTGACCTCAGGTGATCCACCCCCCCCCCGCCAGAACTTGGCCTCTCACAGTGCTAGGATTACAGGAGTGAGCCACTGCACCCGGCCTAAACCTGTTTTTATATTACTTGTAGGAAATATAAAACCATATCTTGGTTTATAGACCAATAAATGTCAGATTATTAACCTTCATGATAGTATACCTAGAAACTAGTTTATATGTTGAAGCAAGACTAAATTGAAGTCAATTCAGTGCCTTTGAAGAACTAAAAATCATTGAATCTATTTATGGGAGGAGATTTTCTTTTGAGCTAAAATGAACTGCCAGCAGTTTTTATAATTCCATATTTCTAGTTCCATTTTATTGTACTCTCATTAGTAAGAGTGCACCAGATTCTTAATTAGCTTCTTGCTTATATTTATTGATTAATCAATACTGTTGCTTTCAGTATAAAATGTTAATTTATCTTTCAGGTAAATCATAAGCAGTCTAACAAAATAGTCTTTATAGTTAAAGTTGCCAAAGCTCTTAGTTATGGCTTCAGTAGGAGCAGTTTGCATATTTTCCATCTTTAGAGAACAATCTCTAGGGATTTATGTGGTCTACTTGGTAAGATGGACAATGTGTGTATATATAGATAATTAATATGTTAATTATATTAGTATGTAATATGAATATATCTTAATATTAATATAACTTATAGTAATAGATTAAGAACACATGTTTGTGTTACATATTCTATTTATATTATATATAATTATTTAGTATGAAGATGGTTATATGAAGAAGTGCTTCAGGAATCCTGATGACTAATACAAACTTCATTATTGCCAACATTTAGGAAAAAGGAAAAGGAAAATTATCAAAGGTTAGGACACAGAGAAGTCTCTATGGAAAAGATGAGATTGAACTGAGCCTAGAAGCAAAAATACTAGAGATGAAGAGGGAATGTTTTGGTAGCAGGAGCGATTTGTGAAGGAAAAACACAAGCAAATTTATGGAGATTGTAATGTATGAGGCCAATTGGAAAAGCAATGAGTGTGTTCCCATTGGGGAAACAAGATTAAAGAGGACTTTAACATTTAAAGTCCTCCATGATCCTACTTACCTGCCTACTCATACATTTCTATGAAGTTCACAAAAAAAAAAAAAAAAAAAAAAGCCCAGGGAGTTTCAATTTCATTATTCGGCTCAAGGAGCCCCAGATGCATAAAATGTGTTGTTTTACAAGGATTCATAAAGTAGCATAGATTAGAAGAGGGACAGACAGAGGAGACTGAAAGACCATTTACGAGGTTAGTAAATTTCAGTATGAGGTGATGTAGAAAATACGGGATGAAGAGAGAAACTTTGCGAAGGAAACTTTGCATAACTTGGTTGGTAACTGGTTCAAGTGAACAAACAGAATAAGATTAACTTCCAGACTTCGATGACAAGTAGAGGTGTTGAGGGGGAAATCTAGTCAGAGAATAATTGTGATTTTAGGTGTAGGCATGTTTAGTTTTAGGTCATGGAAGAATATTGTGGTGGAGTTAGATATGTGGAGTTAGAACCCTGGCAGGAGACCAGAACTGAAAAGAGACTGAAGCTCTTTTATCCTCTTGATAGTTGAAGTCACGAGGAGTTCTCCAAGAAAGGTCTGCTGGCTGATTCTTCGTTGACCTACCAGTCCCTGCTATCAAGGACGCCAGAGTAAGTGATGACAGCAATATATTAATCTCGAATAGAGAATAGAATGAGGAAAACAGAAGGCTCAGGATCAAATCTGAGAGGATCCCTCTCCTCTTCAGGGGCTGACAGGAAGAAGTAAATCTTGGGAAGGGTTAGCCCACAGGAAACGGAAGAGAGGACTCTCACAAAAACCAAGCTGTTTTAAAATTCATACACTTAGGAATTCAAGAGAATCTGCTGCATTGGCACCACCAAGGTTTGGTTTGGTCAGTAAAGAATTAGCCATAGGCAGCAGATGATTGGATTGGCTCTACCAGATTTTTTTTGTCCAGGGCTTTATTCATTGAGTTAATGAAGGATCAATGATCTTCTCTAGGTTAGAACTAAAGAGATGAACTTTCCTGGCCTTGTCCCAGTACTGATTGGCCTCTGTCATCTCTCTTAAAAATAAAAACCAAAAAAACCCAAAAACAAACAAACAAACAAAAAAACCAAGCAACCAACAAACAAAAACCCTCACACAGATTTTCAGGTTTATAAAAGTAATTTTAAGGTTTCAGTAAGCTAGTTAGTGGTCTGAATGCACAGTTGAAGAAAGTTAATATACTTTCTCCTTCTTAAGAGCTCTAGGGTGTATTCTGTAATTCTATTAAGCCACAAGGAGAAAATGGACTGATTATCCTGTTAATTAATTGATTTACAAGAATGAAAATACTTTATGCCATCCTCTTAGACATCACTCTGTGTCTACTTACTCTTGTTTTTATTTCCACTGTCCTTATTTGGCACTTAAGCCTTTTTTTTTTTATTTTTTTTATTTTAAGTGGGAAACTTATATTTAGTTGAAAAATTTACATAATCCTCATTTGTTATCTTTATTTCCTCTATATTCATAGAATATATCTCAAGGATTTTATCATGCTTACATGTAGTAAAGTTCACATTGTCCTTCCTGCTCTTAGCTCCTTTACAGTTTGTTGAAATATCAAGCTCAAATTCTACTTCCTAGCTAAAATCTTCCCTAGTCCCTTTAGTTCTTCCTGATCCTTTCTCTTCTGTAATACCTTTGGCACTTAATATAGTCACTCTAAAATTAGTATGTTCCATTAGTAAGAGAGTATTATTCTCTTATATTCTAATTGCGTTTTGAATTCAGCATTTTACTATAACGGTATAGAGTGCGGATACATACACACGTTTATCATATTAGTATACAGTGTTGTACATAGGAACATTTTCTTACACTCTGAATTATTTTTAGTAAGTTATCTTGGTTTCTTTTTTTTAAGGGGTACATATTCTTGTTTGGTACATGGGTATTACATGCATAATATTGGGTATTGGGCTTCTGCTGTACTCATCACCCCAATATTAGGCATTATATCCAGTAGGTAATTTTTCTTTCTTTTTTTTTTTTTTTTTTGTTGTTGAGACAGAGTCTCGCTTTGTCGCCCAGACTGGAGTGCAGTGGCCGGATCTCAGCTCACTGCAAGCTCCGCCTCCCGGGTTCACGCCATTCTCCTGCCTCAGCCTCCCGAGTAGCTGGGACTACAGGCGCCCGCCACCTCGCCCGGCTAGGTTTTTGTATTTTTTCAGTAGAGACGGGGTTTCACCGTGTTAGCCAGGATGGTCTCGATCTCCTGACCTTGTGATCCGCCCGTCTCGGCCTCCCAAAGTGCTGGGATTACAGGCTTGAGCCACCGCGCCCGGCCCCCAGTAGGTAATTTTTCAACCGTCCCCTTTGGACTCCCCAGAGTCTATTTTCTCTATCTTCATTTCTACATGTACCATTTGTTTAGCTCCCACTTACAAGTGAGAATATGTAATATTTTATTTTCTGCTTCTGGGTTAGTTCACTTGGGGTAATGGCCTCCAGCTCCATCCATGTGGCTGCAAAGGACATGATTTCATTCTTTTTTTTATGATTATGTAGTATTCCATGCTGTATATATACACTATATTTTCTTTATCCAATCGACAGTTGGTAGACATTTAGGTGGATTCCATGACTTTGCTCTAATTGTAAATGGTGCTGCAATAAATACACAAGTACAGGTATCTTTTTAATATAATGATTTCTTTTCCTTTGGGTAGATACCCAGTAGTGGGATCACTGGGTCCAATGATAGTTCTATTTTCAGTTCTTTGAGATATCTCTATACTGTTTTCCATAGAGGTTGAATTAATTTACATTCCCACCAACAGTGTGTGAGTATTCCCTTTTCTCTGCATACACATCAACATCTGTTGCTTTTTGACTTTTTAATAAAAGCCATTCTGACTGGAGTGAGATGGTATCTCAATGTGGTTTTAATTTGCATTTCTCTGATGATTAGTGATGTTGAGCATTTTTTCATATGTTTGTTAGCTGTTTGTATTTCTTCTTTTGAGAAATACCTGTTCATGTTCTTTGCCCCGTTTTCAATTGGTTTGTTTTTTGTTTGATGAGTTGTTTGAATTTCCTGTAGATTCTGAATACTAATTCTTTGTTGGAGGTATAATTTGTAAATATTTTCTTCCATTCTGTGGGTTGTGTTTTTATCCTATTGATTATTTGTTTTGCTGTGCAGAAACTTTTGGTTTATGTCCTATTTCCCTATCTTCATTTTTATTGCATTTGTGTTTGGAATCTTCATCATGAATTATTTGCCTAAGCCAATGTCCATAAGGGTTTTTCCTAGGTTTTCTTTTAGGATTTTTATAGTTTTGGTTTTTATAGTTTTACATTTATGTCTTTAATCCATCTACAGTTAATTTTGTGTACGTTAAGAGATGGGGATTTAGTTTCAGTCTTCTGCATATGGCTAGCCAGTTTTTCCAGCATCATTTATTGAATAGGATGTCTATTTCCCATTGTTTATTTTTGTTAACTTTAATTGAAGATCAATTGGTTGTATATATGTAGCTTTGTTTCTAAGTTAGAGAACCCCATACTGTACCATTAATCTCTGGGTCTGTTTTTGTACCAGGACCATGCTATTTTAGTTACTATAGCCTTTTAGTATAATTTGAAGTCAGGCAATATAATGCCTTTGACTTTGTTCTTGTCGCTTGGGAGTTCCTTGGCTATTTGGGCTTTTTTTGGTTGTTCCATATGAACCTTAGAATTGTTTTTCCTAATTCTTTGAAAAATAAGGTTGGTAATTTGATAGGGATTGCACTGAATCTGTAGATTGCTTGGGTAATATTGTTATTTTAACCATATTAATTCTTCCAGTTCATGAGCATGGAATGTTTTTCCATTTATTTGTATCATCTGCAATTTTTTTCATCAGTGTTTTGTAGTTCTCCTTGTAGAGATCTTTCACCTCCTTGGTTAAATGTATTCCGAGGTATTTTGCTCTTTTTTGTGGCTATCCTAAGTGGGATTGGATTCTTAATTTGGTTCTCAGCTTCAATGTTACTGTTTGTAGAAATGCTGCTGGTTTTTGTACATTGATTTTGTATCCTGAGACTTTACTGAAGTTGTTAATCAGGTCAAGGAGTCTTCTAGAGGAGTCTTTAGGGTTTTCTAGGTATACAATCATATTGTCAGTGAACAGAGATAATTTGACTTCTACTTTTCCAATTCAGATGCCTTTTATTTTTTTCTCTTGCCTGATAGCTCTGGCCAGGACTTCCAGTACTATGTTGAATAGGAGTTATCTTGTTTCTAACTTGAAACGTTATATATATGCATGTATTTTTTGTGGTCTTTCAAATAATGCCACTTACATTGTGAATGCTCAATAATCTAAATAGAAAATACAAATTGGAAGAAGCTTGTGGCAGATAAAACACTTGCATAGTATTATAGGTAAAGGAATTTTACTTTGATCAGGCTACACAAAAATTAATTTCTTTTGAGTTCAAATCAACATTGTATGGCTGTAGAATTTTATTAGATAATGTTTTGGGAAATGCAATTTTGTTTCAGCAATTAATGTAACTTCCTTTTATGTGGCTTGACCATAGTGGAACTGAGTTTATGTGTGGGTTACAGAATCAGTTCATTGTTTTATAAAATAGTGCTACTTGCTTGCTGTTGTTAAATACTTTCTGTCAGAAGTAGACTTTTGCTAAAACTTCTATACCTTTCCCCTCTTTGGCAATAACATGTATTTGTGAATGAATGGGTGAGCCTAGGGATGTAACTTGTAGTTTAAGGAGGGAAGTTAAAGAAATGAAATGGGGTTATGATAAGACTGGTTATTACATCACAAGTTCAGCAAATTTAATATTCAATTCAGATGATATTTTAAAACTTCTTTGTCTATTTTTAAACTTTTATAAGCATAAATATTTTCATTTTATAAGTGAAGTTTAGCTAAAACCAAGAAGACAAATGTAGAACCAGATTTTTGAGTTTTACCTTCATCAATGAACTTTGGGGCTTTGCTATTCCTTAGCCATCAAGTTGAATTTCCTCATTTTAAAATGAAGAATGCAATTCTAGAAACTATTACTTGTACAAGGTCATGTCAGTCATATTCATATTTTATACCATTTGATTCTCTGTTACAGGCATAATAGGAAGTAAAATATGTCTATGCTGCTTCATCGCCTTTCTGTTCTCCAAATGGCCAGAACCTCTTATTTCTTGTTTTCTGTGGTTCTTCACCCAGACATAATCCCCTCACCCAAACAGAACACCATCCTGTTGCTCTACTATGGATAGCTCATTGGACATTTTCAAAAAGAAATCCTTGAGGCCGGGCGCGGTGGCTCAAGCCTGTAATCCCAGCACTTTGGGAGGCCGAGACGGGCGGATCACGAGGTCAGGAGATGGAGACCAACCTGGCTAACACGGTGAAACCCTGTCTCTACTAAAAAAATACAAAAAATTAGCCGGGCGTGGTGGCAGGCGCCTGTAGTCCCAGTCACTTAGGAGGCTGAGGCAGGAGAATGGCGTAAACCCGGGAGGCAGAGGTTGCAGTGAGCTGAGATCCGGCCATTGCACTCCAGCCCGGGTGACAGAGCAAGACTCCATCTCAAAAAAAAAAAAAAAAAAATCCTTGAAAGACAAGGTTTTAAGCAAGGGAATAAATGTCTTATAATGAGAATTTTAGACATGACAGAAGGATAGTGGGAGAGTTGTCAAATTTCAGCAGTAATTTTCTCTTCTACTTAGCTCTGGGATTGGCTTAGGCCAGACCAGGTTGGTTTTTCTGCTAAATTCTAACATCTTGTCAGTGGACATTACTACTTGGGTATTTAATTGCCGTTGAAAGCTCAGTATACCTCAATCTGAATGAATCACCATTTGTTTTATACTGACTCTTCCACTGAACTTCATTCTTTCAATGATAACATTAATCTCTTGGTTACTAGTGTTTGAAACTTGGAGTAAATTTTGAGTATTTCATTTCCCAAACTTTACATCCAAGTCATCACTTGTGTATATATTTGATTTCCCTCTCTAGATAATAAGCCTCTTGAAAGGAAAGTTGAATTTTGATTTTACCCCCAGCCCCACTAATAGTGTCTGTGAAGTAGGTGGTCAGTAAATAGTCACTGAGTGTTAATTAAAACAGAAGGTGTAGTTGTCATCAATGTAAAGGAGGTGATTTAAATAACGTGTTTCAAGTCATAAACAAGTAACCGAGGGAAATCTTCTGTGATGTTTACTTTTTATTTGATTGTTCTTTCCTGAAATCTAAGTACATTGTTATTCTACCGTTCTATTCATAACTTGCAAGGCCTGCCTGGGCCTGTTGCAGAAAATAATGCTAGGAGAGGGTTCAAAACCACATTCATGTACTTCACCAACTCAAAGTGCAAGGGAACGGTTTGTCAATGGGAAGATGAAGTCATGAAAGAATTATAAAAACACCTGGCACCATTCTATTATTGTAAATGCAAACTAGCCATTTGAAAAGAAAAAAATTTTGTGTTAATGCATCTGTTGCCTTTAGTTCAGAAGCAAAATTTCAGCAGCATACAAGGAGTTACCCTAATTTTCAGCTTTGTCCCTTCTAACACAAATTTTAAAAAATAATCTTTGCAAAATTTACCCCAGCAAATGGCTAGAAAATATGAGAATAAATGATGCAAATTTGTCCTAATAATCTGTTAAACTTAAGGCATTATTAAGCAATCAAAAGTGTAAAATAAGTTTAAAATCTTCTTCACAGCTAAGGCGGTATCTATCTTAATGATTTCCACTTTTGCTGCACATTAGAATCGCTTGGGGAACTTTAAAAAATCCTGATGTGTAGGTTGCACTCTATACCAATTAAGTCAGAATGTCTTGACCCGGCGTAGCGGTTCACACCTGTGAATCCTAGCACTTTGAGAGGCCAAGGCAGGAGGGTTCCTTGAGCCCAGGAGTTCAAGACCAGCCTGGGCAACATAGGGAGACCCCATCTCTATCGGAAAAAAAAAATGTCTGGGTAAGGGATAGGAGGCAGACGTCAGTATTTTTAAAAGATCTTCAGGTGATTCCAAGGTGCAACAGTTTGGGTACCCCAGCCACCGAGGAAGAGGAATGAGAACTATGTCATGGACAGTTGAAACAAACAAGAGACTATGGAGTTGGAAAATTATTAGGTCCTACTTTCATGTTTGTTTATTTTAATATGTTCTGGGTACACAGTAGATATTTAAATATGTACTGAATTGAATTAAATTAATCTTAATTAAATCTTAAATCATATTCTTAGATATCAAGATGCTCAGCCATCCATTTCACAGTCCTTTTAAACAAGTTTTAAAAATTGATATATAATAGTTGTATGTATTTTGGGGGTACATATAATATTTTAATACTTGTATATAATGTATAATTATCAAATAAGGTAATTGGGATATCCATTACCTCAAACATTTATCTTTTCTTTGTGTTGAGAACATTACAAATCTTCTAGCTATTTTGAAATATACAATTGTTACCTATAATTTGTCTACTATACTAGAATACTAGAACTAATTTCTTCTATTTTTGTATCCTTAACCAACTTTGATAATCCTCATACTTAAACATTTCTTATACCTCTCAAGCATCAAAGACATTACAATAACCAGCATACTACCTAATATATGTATTTCATCTCAGTTCATCACTAGTGAAAGGTTTTTTAATTTTTTTTGAGACAGGGTCTTTGCTCTGTTGCCCAGGCTGGAGTGCAGTGACACAATCATAGCTCATAGCTTACGGCAGCCTCAAACTCCTGGGCTCAAGTGATCTTCCCACCTCAGCCTTCGAGTAGCTACGGCTACAGACACATGCCACACCAAGCTGACTTTTAAAATTTTTGTAGAGACAGGGGTCTTACTGAGTTGCCCAGGCCGACCTCAAACCCCTGACCTCAAGTGATCCTTTCGCCTGGGCCCAAAGTGTTTGCATTACAGGCATGAGGCTCTCTGCCCAGCTCAAGAACAAGCGCTCTAATGTTATCTATTACAATCTTAACTACAATCTTATGAGATCGCTATTGTATCTCCCATTTCACAGGCAGAAAATTAAGTTGCCCAAGGTTACACAGATGGTGAGTCCTAAATTTGCAATTCATACCCAAATCTATCCGATCTTAATGCCCATATTTTTAAACTTTGTATTGTGCAGGAATGGAAAGATATGACAAAATGATAGCATTAGTGAAAAAGAGTACTTGCAAGTTCAATATGAGTCCGTGGTGTGATGTCACTGCCAACAAGGTAAAAGCCACCTGAGGTTGTGTTCTGGAATACAGTATTCAGAGGGAGGGAAGCAACAGCCCCGTGCTAGTCTTTAGGGGTGGAGCACACCTGGAGCATTGTGTGCAAGTCTGAGCCCCACGCTGGAAAGAAGGGGATTACTCACACACCTGACACTCACTGTGATGTGAGTACCCAGCATGGTGAGTGAGTCTATAGGAAAAACTGTCAAAAAGCTGAGACTATTTAGGCTCCACAAAGAGAAGGCTGAGGGAGGCTGAGTAGCTAGTATTTGAAATGTCATCATGTGGTGGAACATTAGACACGATTGGTGTAGTTCCAGAAGGAAAAACTAGGCTGCACATACAGGAAAATTGGAGGTAGATTCGCCTCCACACAGAAAGGAAGGTCTGGCTGTTATTTGGAGCTTTTTAGAAATGAAATGGACTTCCTTGTGAGACAGTGAATTCCTTTTCGCTAATTAAGAAAGTGAATGATCACTAATCCTGAGCGTTAAAGACTTAATGTATGTCAGGTGTGATGCTTCTCAACGCTTAGTGGGTATTAGAATCACCTGGGGGAACTTGCTAAATACTGATTGCCAGGCCTTACCTTGAGAAGCGTTGCTTCAGTGGATCTGAAATAAGGTGGGAGAATGTGAATTTTTAAATTTAATTTTAATTTTTTTTTTGAGACGGAGTCTTGCTCTGTCACCCAGTCTAGTGCAGTGGTGTGATCTTGGCTTACTGCATCCTCCGCCTCCCGGGTTCAAGCAATTATCCTGCCTCAGCCTCCTGAGTAGATGGGACTACAGGTACATGCCACCACGCCTGGATAATTTTTGTATTTTTAGTAGAGATGGGGTTTCACCATGTTGGCCAGGCTGATCTCTAACTCCTGACTTCAGGTGATCCACCTTCCTCGGCCTTCCAAAGTGCTGGGATTATAGGTATGAGCCACAGTACCCGGCCAAGAATCTGAATTTTTAACAAGAAACACAGTGAGTCCAGATCACATGGTCACTGACCCCCACCCTCTGAGAACTGGTGAGGTTAGATAAACTCAGATCTCTTCTACTTATCCTACAAATAAACCCTTTAGTAAAAAAAAGTGTCGTCAACATAACAGCTGCTCAAAGTTGTCTTAACAAGTTTTGTAAGAAATCTAAGGCAAAATTCTTTAATATGTTGACAGCTAAGTTAGAGATGACATCATTGGAATGTGCGATATTAGGATACAGAAGAACGCTTGATTCTCTGTGTTATAAAAGATAAGATTATAATAGCAAAATAGAAAATATAGATCCAGTTTGAAAACACTTCAAATAGAGAACCCACTCCACTTATGCCAAGGAGCAATTGGATGGAGACCAGATTGGCATATGAAAAAGCTATATGATTATCTCAATAGGCAGCACCTGTGTAAGGTGAAGCACCCATCAGCCTTTAGGGCCCAGGCTTATATAAACTTCAGCCTCAAACTCACGAACAGGTGTGGGTGAGAGTTGGAAACATAAGGGATGGTGCAGTTGGTCTTTTAACTCTTATCCACTTTTCTTGGGGGCTAAAGGGCTTTTGTTGGCAAGTATAATGTGTTTGATTATTCTTAAAGCATGCAACTTGTGAGGCACATTTTGGAATTACTCTCTCCTGAAATATTTTGCTCTTTGTTAATATATCTTTAAAACATGACGCTTGAGGTAATTACTATCCCATACCAGGATCTTTTTTAAGTTGCACAGTGATGTTTCAGTTATTACTTAAATACTTTAAAATTTTAAAGATTTTTTTTCCTTTGAAAACCTTTAAAACTGGGCTATTTGAGGAACTGCTGTTCTTGGCTGTTATGTTAATTGATAGTGTTCATGTACTTACCTAGTTTACTAAGGACTTCTTTCTAGCAAATTATCTCGGTTTTAAATTTAAGGTATGTAAAATTTCCAAATGGCAATTAAGTATTGATATTAAGTTAAACATTTCTTTCTATTTCTTCTTCCTTTTAATGATTCAGACCTCCTTATCTATTTTTCTTGAATCATGAGAGATGAAATTGCAACAACAGTTTTCTTTGTCACAAGATTGGTGAAAAAACATGATAAACTAAGTAAACAGCAAATAGAAGACTTTGCAGAAAAGCTGATGACGATCTTGTTTGAAACATACAGAAGTCACTGGCACTCTGATTGCCCTTCTAAAGGGCAAGCCTTCAGGTGAGAGCTAGTATGTGGGATGGCAAAGGGAAGCAATCACCAAACAACAGCCAGCTCCTAGGAAAATGGAGTGATCTTGTTTTCAGCATTTAAGTAACGAAAGTTTTATGGGTTCATTTGTTTGAACGTGGAATTGAAAGGAGGAGACATAGTAGATGACACTTTGGCTGGAAACAACAGAGCAAAGCCCCTTACGTGAGGTAGATTAAACAATTTTTAATTTGTGTTTGCCATGAAAGATAAGCTGTGAATAGCCAGTAAACTAATTTTGTGACTTACTGATGCAACATACATTCTGAGCCACTGTATCAAAAGTTGATGTCTTACTTGTAAGAGTGGAGAGTGGAGGAGGCTGAGGGGAAGGTGGGGGTGAGATGGGAGCTATGTGTATTGGAACGGTATGTGCATAATGTGATTCTCCTGCTAAAGTGCCTGTCATCATGTCTTCATCTCCCTTCATTTTTTAAAAAGGTGCATCAGGATAAACAACAATCAGAATAAAGATCCCATTCTAGAAAGGGCATGTGTGGAGAGTAATGTGGATTTTTCTCACCTGGGACTTCCGAAGGAGATGACCATATGGGTAGATCCCTTTGAAGTGTGCTGTAGGTGAGTAATCTCATAGTTTGTGTGCTGTGTGATACCTGGAAACCTTAGGTTAGACAACTTTACATAAGTTCATGAAAGATGATGCACCAAAGCCTTGAGTTAGCAGCAGGGACACTTCTTGGTTAAGATTTTAGATGCAAACTTCTGTTAGACAATGAAGACTTCTATTCGAAGTGGGTGAGGTGGAAAGCACAATGATTTTGCAAAATATTTGAAATGTGGCTTTAATCACTGCACCTTATTACAAACTATAGATTGGTAACAGTATCTATTACAAACTGTAGGTTGATAACAGATAAGTATTATAGGCAATATCAGAAAGGAAGTAGAGTTATCTATCATGGGACAATTCAGTTCATTAACTGAATCAAAAGAAACTAGTCTTTGTTTTTTTCTGAACAATTAACCAAAATAACTCTTATAGAATGTCCTCATTTATAACAGTGTAGTAGGTGAAGGTCATAATGTCCTTCAATTTTTTTAAGGCAATCTCTTTTAAAATAAGTTAGCATATTGTCTCCTGGAAAGATTAGAGACAAAACTTGTAGGAAGTTGAATCCCTAATTAGTACTTAAATTTCTTTTCCTACTTAGGTATGGTGAGAAAAACCATCCATTTACAGTTGCTTCTTTTAAAGGCAGATGGGAGGAATGGGAACTATATCAGCAAATCAGTTATGCAGTTAGTAGAGCCTCATCAGACGATTCCTCTGGCCCTTCCTGCGATGAAGAAAGTTGTAGCAAGGAACCTCGTGTCATTCCTAAAGTCAGCAATCCAAAGAGTGTTTATCAGGTCAAGTGTGTTCCAGTTCTTTTCTATACGTTTTTCTATCTGATTCTAAAAACAATGCACTCATTATGAAAACAAAGAAGCAAAAAAACATGGAAAGAACAAAACTGTAGATTTTTAAAAGCCAGAATCTTAATATTTTGGCAAAACTTTTACTGTCTTCTTCACTGCACAATGTATTCCCTACTCTTGGCTGAGCTTTTAGGATCTACATATCTACATAATCTTTTATTGTCCTATTTCTTCATACAATATTTGAAGACACACAGGTTTCCTTCCACTTAAATTCCTACAGAATCAAAGATTAAGATTAGTGAGCTTTGTTTTTTTTTTTTTTGGTCAATTGAAAATACCATGGCATTTATACAAAATTTGGATTTAGGAAAGGTCAAAGGCCTATACATTGTGTCACTAGAGCAGTTTTTCTCAACTAATTTTTTCTTCTTTTTAAACCATAACGCATTGAAAGATATGCATATTTACATTTAAAAAGTTTCCTGAAACAGTGTTTATCTTTACTAGGAGCAATGCTCCCAGTACTTCCAATTAAATTCATTTGATTTCAAGCATCTAAATTGATTTCATGACCCACAATTTGAAAAACACTGAACTAGAGAGAATTTGTTAACACTTTATGTATATATTTGTTTGTATGTTCTCTTAATCACCTATGTATTAAATGTTAAAGCAATTGAAATTTTAATATTCATTTGCCTCCCTTGTAACTGATTATTGGCAGAATTCTAGACTGTTTCCACATGGTTGTAGTATTTTTTAAAAAGCTGATAACTCGTATGGTGATGCCTGAATTTTAGGTTGTTTCTTGAGGTTTGATTCTCAAGCACAGAACTACTGGGTCACCGAGTATGAACATTTTACTGGTTTTTAATATGCAGCCGAAACACCATATAGACAGTTGTATTTATTTGTAGTGTCACCAGCTGTATGTAAAAGTGCCTGCTCTGCCTTTTTTTTCTGGTATTGGCTATTCTCATTTAAAAAACAGATAATTTGATTAACATGATATGCATATGTAATACAGTATTTGTGAAATTAAACATTAAAAAATTCCATGTGCCCAAATGTTTTAGCACCTACTCTCTTACAAATTTTCTCTTATTCACCCATTCATTATTTGAAGTTCTAATATATTATTATAGGTTCTTTATATGCCGGAATGATTTTAACCCCTTGTCGTATTTCTGGCAAATGTTTTGTCCCTAGTTTTTTAAACTATGTGTGTCATTGGTAGTTTCTTGGAAACAGTGACTTTAAAATGATGTATGACAAAGCTATTTTTTTCCTCAGTGTTATAACCAAACTATGTTATTCAAAGTCCTGCTGTATGTCATTTAGCTTAAAATTAGTTTCCAAGAACCTATCGAGGTTGTTGAGTGAGGATTTATGGTATTTGCCTTAATTCTATTTTTATTTTTAGAAAGGTCTTCTTTCATTTGGGGATCAGACCTGTAATCAGCTCTATCCTTTTACAGCAATGTCTTTTCAAAGTGTGATCTGTAAAACATCTGTATCAGTCATCTAAGGTGTTTAAAATGAAGATTTCTAGGCTGTGGCCCCAGAGATCATGAACATGCAGTTTTGGATTAGGCTGGCAGGCGTGAGGTAGGGATGGGAGAGGGACAACTCAAGAATAAACATAAACTTGAATAAGCGTATTAAAAAGTTTTTAGTTGAGTTAGTTAACTTTTTAAAAAGGTATAGTATAAAGTGACTTATGTTCCTGCCAAGTGCTAGAAAAGTTTTCAAAGATGGTTATGCACTTTTGATTCTATTTATTTGTGCTCCCTATGCTTTTGAAGTGCTTGACTTTTGAATTATGAGTTCATATTTAGTCCTTACAGCTAGCTTATTAGAGATCTTTATGCTTTTTTTTCCCAGGTTGAAAACTTGAAACAGCCCTTTCAATCTTGGTTCCAAATCCCCCGCAAAAAGAATGTGGTGGATGGCCGTGTTGGCCTCCTGGGAAACACTTACCATGGCTCGCAGAAGCACCCTAAGTGTTACAGGCCTTCTATGCACCGGGTGGACAGGTACCACTGGGTCAACATACACCAATGACGCAGTGACTGGGCACATGGTGGGCGAGAGCTCAGAGGAGCGCCTTTATTCTAAAATAAAAATGAATTTAAGGTTGAGAGGCCCTGAAACAAAAAATGACCATATTAGGGACGAGGGTACACAATGGTAAATCCTCTCATACAGATCATGACTGTTCTTAGCTGTACTTTTAATTCTTATTTAATTTTACATGAAGTTTTATGTAACATTAGTGAATGTACCCAGTAAGGTAACAGAATGAAGATATTGACCTGTAATAAGACTCAATGAATTATGAAAAGTAATGGTTTAAATAAACGTACAGTGTTTTTAATGCTTCTTAGTTCAGTTCGTTGCAAGAAACAAACTTTTAAAAGTTTATTTTTTGTAAAGAAGGGGTCTCCCTATGTTGCCCAGGCTGGTCGCAAACTCCTGAGCTCAAGCAATCCTCCTGTCTCAGCCTCCCAAAGTGTTGGGATTACAGGCGTGAGCCACTGTGCCTGGCCACCATTCATTCTTACTCCCCTCACCCTCTACCACTTGCTAGAGGGAAAGTTGATGACTCTGCAGTCTGTGTCTCTACAAATTTGATAGCAGTGAGAATTGTTTTGGCTGCCACTTTTCGATGTTTATGGTATGAGGAAATGCCCGTTAGGCTACTGCTGGTGAATTTTATCTTTGCTAGATTTTATAGATTTTAAAATTAGGGAGGGAGATTCTACAATCCAGCTTCACTCTATTAGCCAAAAATAGTTTGACTCTTCTAAATTCTGTGTCTCTAGTTGTTAGAAAATTCCCAAAACCTTGTTGACTGGACCCATTCCTGCTCATGCTGTTTGTTCCCAGCTGGGTCCTTGCCGTTGTCTGGCAGTTCCTGTTAATCTCCACTTAAGACGTTTTGTAGCTGTGTCTTCTCTATCTCTTTTTACTCCATCCTCCTGTGATCTCAGCAGGGGACTTGTTCTTTTTGTTTTCTCCTACTTCAAAATTTTATCCCCCCCTTCTCCTCTCTCATCTCCATTTTAAGACTTTGCTCTTCTCCAGTCACTTGTATCTTCTCCCTACATCTTGGTTTTCTTGCTGAATTTCTGCTGTTAGGTGGTTCTGGATCCAGGAAGCTGGTAGCACTGGATCAGTCACAGCTTGGTTCTCTTGTGAGTAGACTTGTGCTTTGGGCCAGTGGCTCTGAGTGGATGCAAAAAGTTGTGACCTTGAGTCCCAACTCGGGCAGGACATGCCAGCAGTCAAGCTAGTGCTGACGAAGAGGGGGCTTGATTCTAGCCTCATTACTTTGGGTGCAGCTCTTAGTAATCATTTTTTCTTTTCTTTTTTTTCTCTATAAATGGATGGTTCATTAGGGCACATAGCAGCATTATTTTGTGGGACAAACTCACTTATCCTTAATGGCATATGAGGTCAAGTTTCTCTGCTGAAAAATGAGTTTGTCCTCTCTTGAAGAGCTTTCTGCTATAGTATGGGAGTTGTTGTGAACCTCCTCAGATTTTTCTCAAGGTAACCACAACACTAGTTTACTGGCCCCTCAGCAAACCATCCACTGGAGGTGGTTGTGATGTTCGCCAGCCTCCGTACGTGTGTGGGTGAATTCCGGTCTCCAGAAAATGGGGCAGAAATAAGACTACTAGCAATGGGTGTAATTATTAGGCTTTAGGATGCTAGCATGTATGTGAATGTACTTTAGTTTAATCCTTAACCATCAAGTTAGAATTTCTGGTAACATTTCATTTTCTCTGCCTCCCTACCTTCTACCCTTGTGCAGGCAATTGTTATTAGTTACCTGTCTGGTCTTGTTCCCCATCCTAAGGTAATCTTTACTCTTCAGTTTAAAATGTTTCAATCAGGAAAATATTCAAATTCTAGAATACGGTTTCTGGTCTTAATGACTTGAGTTCTTGCATGTCTTTTCAGCCTAACCTCGACTCTCCTTTTGGACTCTGTTTTTTATTTTCTTGTTATTTTTTTGTTTCCTTTGAGACAGAGTCTCACTTTGTTGCCCAGGCTGGAGTTCAGTGGTGAGATCTCGGCTCACTGCAACCTCTGCCTCCCAGGTTCAAGTGATTCTCTTGCCTCAGCCTCCAGAGTAGCTGGGACTACAGGCGTGCGCCACCATGCCCGGGTAATTTTTGTATTTTTAGTAGAGACGGTGTTTCACCATGTTGGCCAGGTTGGTCTCGAACTCCTGGCCTCAAGCGATCCACCCACCTTGGCCTCCCAAAGTGCTGGGATTACCAGGGACTCTGGTATTTAAGTGTTCTTGATTGGGATACTTCTCACCTTGCCTCATTGTTCTCCCTTCACTCTTGATCTTTGGGTATCACTTGAGATACCATCTCTTCCAGGAAGACTTCCTGATCCCCAAGTCCAGTTTGTCGTCATATGTTAGGGGTTCCTTACAGCATTCTGTCTGCCCCTAGAAGAGCACTTAACTATTGTAATTATTTCATAGGTATCAGTATCCTCCCAATAGACTGAGTTTTCAGAGTACAGATACTTCATATTCCCATTTAACGTTGGCATATAGCAGTGTTCAGATTTATAGACTGGATGACTTTATTGGTGATTAAACGCTAGCCTAATATATAATCTGATACACAGCATTAAATAATGCTTGTTGGTTGATCATTCTCTCAGCGGAGTAAGAAGTACTGTGTTCTAGGCTGGGCATGGAGAACTAATTGCTGTAAAAATCTGAAGTTGTTTGGTCTTTACATGTACAATTTATTGGACTAAAAAAAGACAAATCAACCGTATATAATACTTGCTAGATATAAAGTGCAACATAATATTTGGATATGACAAGAATGAGTGATCTTTCAAGAACCTTTACACAGAGGGTTTTATTAATAAAGTTTCCCTTGTAGTCTGCAAGGTTGGTTTAAAAAATTTTCCAGCCAGCAGAGGTGACACTGTACCCTTGAACCGTATGCTGCTGATGGACACTGCTAGTCAATCACAATGTTCTGATTTGGGTTCAGAGATTGCCTCATAATTCTTGTAGCATAGTACTTGAGATGACCATTATAATTAATTGTTCCAAATCGGTATTCAAGAAGAAACCAATTCCACCATGTGCTAGGGTTTGGCTCAGAGGGAGCCATCTATGAACATTTGAGCCCTGTGTAATCCTTTATAGCCTCTCAGGAGGCTCTGAGCAAATGTGTAGGGGAAAAAATAGAATCAACTATATATTTTTACTGTGATTAAAAGTAGTCAATATACTTGAAAAGCCCCTAAATACATTACTATCATATCTATTAGTATATTTGTATAATAACCAAATTAGATCTTCCTAATCTACATTTTGAAAATTTTCTATGATGAACATGTACCATTTTTCTTTTCTTTTCTTTCTTTTTTGAGATCAGGTCTCACCCTGTCACCTAGGTTGGAGAGCAGTGGTGCAATCTTAGCTCACTGCAGCCTTGACTCCCTGGCTTGAGTGATCCTCTTGCCTCAGCCTCCTGAGTAGCTGGGACTACAGGTGCCTGGCTAATTTTCAACTTTTAGTAGAGAACGAGGTCTCGCTATGTTGCCGAGGCTGGCCTTGAACTCCTGAGCTCAAGGGATCCTCCCGCTTCAGCTTCCCAAAATGCTGGGATTACAGGCATGAGCCACTGTTCCTGGCCTTCTCTTTTTTTAAAAAAATTTATCTTGAGGTAATTATAATTTCACATGCAGTTGTAAGAAGTAACATAGATCCCATGCATTCTTTCACCTAGTTTTCCCCCTTGGTAACATTTTGCAAAACTTTAGTACAGTATCACAAGCAGATATTGACATTGCTACAGTCAAGATACAGAACACTTCCATCACCACAAGAATTCCTCTTGTTGCCCTTTTATAGTTGCACACACTTCCTCCCTCTCCCATCCCTTTCTTAACCCCTTGGCAACCACTAATCTTTCCCCTGTTCTTTTAATTTTCTCATCTCAAGAATGTTATAAATTAATCATACTGTAGGTAACCTTTTGGGATTGGCTCTTTCCACTAAGCATAGTTCTTTGGAGATTCATCCAGGTTGCTGCATGTATTGGTAGTTTATTCCTTATTGTTGCTGAGTAGTATTCCATGGTATGGACAAACCACGGTTTAGCCATTTACGTGTCAAAGAACAACTGAATTGTTTCTGAATATTAGGAATAAAGCTACTACAAACATTTGTATAGACAATGTGTGAACATAGGCATGTATTCCAGAGAAATAAAAACACATGAGTGGAATTAATGGGTCATATAGTAGTTGCATGCTTAGTTTTTAAAGAAACTGCCATTCTATGTTCCCATCAGCAGTGTATGACTGATTCAGCTTTTCCACATACTTATCAGTCTTTGGTATTGTTATAATTTTTTATTTCAGCCATTCTGATGGGTGTGTAGGATATCTTCATATGGTTTTAATTTGCATGACCCTCATGGCTAGCGAAGTTGAACATCTTATGCTCGTTTGGCATCTGAATATCCTCTTTGATGAAATATCTGTGTGTCTCCTGGCCATTTTCTAATTGAGTGTGTTGTTTATTTTTCCACTGAGTTTTGAGAGTATTTGATATATTCTAGACACTGGTCTTTTGTCAGATGTGTGGCTTGAAACTATTTTCTTCCAGTTTGTATGTTGTATTTAAAAAATTTCTTCATTTTTAATTACTATGGGTACATAATAGTTATATATATGGAGTACATGTGATGTTTTGATAGTGATGTTTTGGTACAGGCATATGATGTGTTATAAATCATGGTAATTGGGATATTCATTGTCTCAAGCGTTGATCATTTCTTTGTGTTAGGAACATCCCAATTTCACTTTCAGTTATTTATTTTTTTATTTTTGAGACGGAGTTTTGCTCTCATTGCCCAGGCTCACTGCAACCTCCACCTGCCAGTATCAAGCAATTCTCCTGCCTCAGCCTCCACAGTAGCATGCACCTGCCACCATGCCCAGCTAATTTTGTTTTTTGGTATTTTTAGTAGGGATGGGATTTCACCATGTTGGCCAGGCTGGTCTCAAACTCCTGGTCTCACGTGATCCACCCACCTCGATCTCCCATGGTGCTGGGATTACAGGCATGAGCCACTGTGCCTGGACACTTTCAGTTATTTTAAAATGTACAGTAACTTATCGACCATGGTCATCCTATTGTATTACTAAGTACTAGATCTTAATTATTCTAACTGTATTTTTGTACCCATTAACAATCCCTGCTCACCCAGCCCCTCCCTGCTATCCTTCCCAGCTTCTGGTAACCAACCATTCTACTCTATTTCCATGGATTCAATTTTTTTTCACTCCCATGTATGAATGAGAACATATAATATTTGT